ACCGAGGCCGCACTTCAGCAGCTGGCTGATCCCCTCCCCCAGGAGGGGGAGAGGGGCCCTCGCCTTGCTCTGCTCGGACCCTGAGCAGGTCCTGCCGCACCAGACTCCGATGAACGCACATCCTCGTCTGGGAGCGACCCGCACCCTGCCTCCAGGTGATCTCAGGAGCCAGCTAATGGACGCAGCCCCTGCAAAAATAAACGTTCTCCGAAGGAACGTTAAAGACCGAAGAAATACGCTGTAGGTGCACAACTCAACAGTGGCAACCAAACCTCTTTTCAAGTCCTCAAGTCTCGTGTGTGCTCCTTCTCGTGAGTACACAGACATCCATGTTGATGTAAGAACAGTTTCTTTGTTCTGTCCTTACAAGGAAGGATGTTGCAAATCATCACTTCTCTCCAAGCCTGAAATATTAAAAACATGCAGTCTGAATTTGTGCACAATAATTTACTTTTCCCTGATTTCATTTCACATACCAGGGAGGGAGAAGAAATGCTTAAACCCTCCAAGCATGTTTATTAAATCATACTTCTTTTCAGTAGTCATTTTGCCAAGTTAAACCTGATTTTTAAAATTTCATCTCATGGAACGTTGGTTTGGTGTGTTTTGTTTTGTTTTTAAATTGTTATTATTTCTTTAGCCGTCTTACTGTCCCTTTTCTGCACCTCTTGTTAAAGTACATGCATTTATTTCCAATAAACAAACGCACACACTCCGCTGGCTGAGCTCTTACCAGTGCCTTACAGTGGTACCAGCACTTTTCTAGAATGCATTAGACTTGTTCACAGTCCTATCAGATTGGCAGTGCAACTGATGGGCTGTATAAAATAACAGAAATTTTGTTCTTACCTGCCAAATGCACAATTTAATCTCACTCCTATTATTCCGGTCCACAAGATGATCATACAGAGAGAACTGAACAATCCACTCTGAAGAATTGAGAAAACATGCAATTTTGCATCCCTATCAGCATGTGACAAAACCACAGCAGAAAGAGACAAGAATTCCATTTCAAAATAGCCTTGTGCAGTCTTTCTGTTTAACCAGATCTTTATTCATCAGAGTTCGCGTGTATCGCTATCGTCTCTTTCTCAAACAAGTCTTTGAAGGCTCTCTGTTTCAAGTGCTGCGCTTAAACCCAGGTAGCACATCCCCGCTATTATTTTAGTAACAGCAGCAACAATAAAAAAGCTATTCTGCTATGGTTTCATCACAGATCATTGATCCTGCACTTTATTCCACTTCGCGTGCTTTCATCCTGAATACTTCTGTTGTTGACCTTGTTTGCAAGAACTAGATGGATGGGTACACAAAATTGGTGTTTTGGCAACACTGAAGAGTGCATCGTTCAGTTCTCTGTCCATGATGATCTTGTGGACCAGAATAACAGGAATGAGATTAAATTGTGCATTCGGCAGTTACGAACAAAACTTCTGCTATTTTGCATAGCCCATCAGTTGCACTGCCAACCTGATACAACCACGAACAAGTGCGTATGTGTTTCAGAGTTCTCTTCCTACAAGAACTGTTTCAAGACCTTGCACACTGGCGAGGTGTAGAAATCCAAACTGCTCCTGTCACCTCTTTTTTCCCCCCCTTTCCCCTCAACTCCGTCACTCAACAAGTTTGCTTTTTTCCAGAGACAATAGTCCTCAAATGTCAGATATGACAGGAAGACGTTCTATTATGTTGTCAATTACACACATCTCTCCCTTCAATATTTTGGAATAGAGATTACACGGGTCTCCTAGAACTCTGCGTTCTTCTACCATCTCTGATTTTATGTTACTGTAACCTCATCCAAAACAGGCAAAATATTTCCTTGGAAGCTGGACCTTATCTAGTCACCTTAATCTACATTCTGTCATATTATACAGTGCTCTTATGTTTCCTCTATGGTCTTTTAAAGTGGCCAAACACGTATTTTTTTCATCTTTATTACACACAGCCCAATGAATTTTGGTCTGACTCACTGATTTTGTGCTTTCTGATCTCCAACATGTGGAGTTCTCTTGGCTCATGTGTTCCTTTACCTGGTCATTATTAACTCACTTAACATTCTAGCTGAGGCATTCAGGGGAGTACTTCAGTAGCTTTCCACATCAGCCTCTTTGTTTCTCACCCCTTTTTTTCCTTTTTTTTTTTCTTTTGTCTCTTTTTTTTTTTCCTTTTAAATGGGGGGGGGCGGGGATCTCCAACATGTGGAGTTCTCTTGGCTCATGTGTTCCTTTACCTGGTCATTATTAACTCACTTAACATTCTAGCTGAGGCATTCAGGGGAGTACTTCAGTAGCTTTCCACATCAGCCTCTTTGTTTCTCACCCCTTTTTTTCCTTTTTTTTTTTCTTTTGTCTCTTTTTTTTTTTCCTTTTAAATGGGGGGGGGCGGTTTTATTTAATTTTCATATTTAAGTCATCTTCCTTCTTGTGTTCTCGATGCTTCTTTTCCCATGTGTTGTCAGAAGAATAAAAATGTGCAATCCTATAGTTATTCCATCATAGTCTCCAAACTTGTCCAATATTTAAGGAAAATGATCTGGTTTAACCTCCTTGCTGCAAATCTACCCCAGATGTTAAAGCAAACAGTAATGCTGGTTGCTCATCAAATGGCAGTCTTCCTTCTGAGCCAATACTAAATCAAACATCCTGTAAAGTGTTATAAAGTGTTGTGCCATGGGGTGAGGGTGGGGGAAGCAAAAATCTTCAGACAGAATGTGAAACTGAAGCTCAATCATTATAAAATAATAGAAAAAGAGCCTTCTGTAACTTCTTACAGGAGAAACAGTACTACCATTAGCATCTTTGCCAAATTCCACCATGCAAATTTACATTCCGTCTAACTGGCTTCCCTTTGCAGTTTTAGTTGGATTCATTCGTTCTTCCTTTCTCTGGCAGCACTCTGATTTCCCTGCTCTGTTCACCTCCTCTTTAAAAGGTCCCAAAGTAATCTTTGTGTACATTATTATCACAATGATATTTAATACGTTCATAGACATAACTGTAAGCAATGTGCTGCAACGGCAAACACAAAACTAACAATCTCTATGAACTAAATGAAATTACAGCAGGACAAATAATTGAGGAAATTAAACAAACAGCATCAGCTTGAAAGACACAACCCTTCCCCTGAACATACAAAGATGTACTTCTGTTAGGAACTCTCTATTGCTCCTTCCTTCTGTACATGAAAAGGCCTGGCATGCCTGCAGTCACTACTGGCTATGGTTACAGAGTTACGAAATTCGCGTCACTTACAAGAAATCATTATTTCCTAGAGATGAGATTTTATTTCATCAGTTCTTTCTCCCCCTGTGAGGCTGGGAAGGGTGTTTAAGAAGGCTTTGCCATGCTCCCACATCCCTCTCTCTACTACGCCTTATTGCAAAATCAACTTCTCATTCAGGAATACAAATTCAGTGGCAATTCCTATGCTGACTAATCACATTGCACTTGCAGTGTAGCACCTGGTTGCCTTCACCCTCTTCCTCCAACATTTCTCCATTCTGCATGTAATAGTCCACCCTGCTCACTTGCAAATGCATGTTCTTGGCTACTGTGAGTGCAACTAGACTAGCAGTTTTATTGCTATTACATGCAGTCCACAGAATCACAGAATGTTCGGGGTTGGAAGAGACCTCTGTGGATCACCTAGTCCACCCCTCCTGCCGAAGCAGGGTCACCTACAGCAGGCTGCACAGGACCTTGTCCAGGTGGGTCTTGAATATCTCCAGAGAAGGAGACTCCACAGCCTCCCTGGGTAGCCTGTTCCAGTGCTCCATCACCCTCAGAGGGAAGAAGTTCTTCCTCATGTTCAGATGGAACTTCCTATATTTTAGTTTGTGCCCATTGCCCCTTGTCCTGTCACTGGGCACCACTGAAAAGAGTTTGGCCCCATCTTCCTGACACCCACCCTTCAGATATTTGTAAGCATTTATTAGGTCCCCTCGCAGCCTT